TCCGTGGCGCGTGTGACAGCTTGCCGCGCCGAATGAATTTTAATGAAATACAGTGTGTTAGAGGGAGCGCGAGCCGGCCCCCGGCCACTACCCCCGGCTGAATTTATCCGACAAATTCTCCCTCCGCGTTGTCTAATCTGAATACATGCATATCCGAGAGCCGCCGCCGCCGTATAAAGTGGAGACGCGACGACGTGGACGACCGGCGTCGGCGTCGTTTTTCGGCGGACACGTCGTCCCCGGACCGAGATTGAGCGCGCTCGATTAAACAGTATGGAATCTAAAATAACATGGAATATTATATACAGAGAGATTGGATATTTCACGTTACTATTCTGAAATTTTTGCGATTTTTTAAATTCACAGGATCTGCTCTGCGATTCGAGCCGAGATAAATTAAATTATGTGGCGTATTATTCTCTCTCCATCGTGGTAAGAATGATTCGAGACGATAGAAATTACTCATGTATGTAAGAATGATCTAATAAGTTGAATACTAACCTACTTACGTCTATTATGGCAATTAGAAGCCTCAAAATGGATGTACGGTGTCGTAACGTTAATATAACTGGACTTTTACATACGCGACCTAGATATGTTCATAATCGATTAAACATTTATCCGATTCGGAAGACTGTAAGAAAATCATTTAAGGCTTCGAACATTTTTTATACGAAAAGAGGCAAATTAAAATTGAAGTTAGCAATTAGGGTAACTGTCCCTATTAATGTGCCTTTAAGTCAATTTGTTTATTACTGAATTGATTATTAAATATTGTAGCTTGAATTTTATCTGCTTGCAATCGATATCGGTTTTTTAACTATTTCTTTTTCTTATAATATTTCTTTAATCTAAAAAAATGTTATTACTTTATAATGTTTTTTATAAAAAGAAAAAACAATATTTTTGTCCCTGTTAGTGAGTCCTCCAAGCGGCGATAACCCTATTAATGTTCTCCCAATTTGTATGCCTATTCGCATTTGATTCATTTTAACATATTACAGTTATTAAAATAGGTAATAAATTTTAGCTAATTGTTTAAGCTAATATTACATAAATCATTATGTCAATTATACTTATTTCAATGTACACTCTCTCTCATAACACAGCGTTCTCAAACAATACAGGGCACATTAATAGGGACAAGCTTAAAATCTTGCGATATTACTGGATTCACATAAATTCCTCATATCTTTCGAAAAATGTTTAAAATACTTTAACAGATAAAAAATAAAATATTATTTTTGGTATCGTATACATTAATAACTTAACAAAAAAATATATTTTTTCTTATTTATTCGTGCTAGTTTTCTTTATGGCTTATTGAAATACAAAAGTACACTAATAAGGACACAGTAATAGGAACAGTTACATTATACTTTTGGTTTATAATTGTGTATCACGTGCAGAGCACAGTAAAACTCTTTTTTAATTTTTAACTTCGTGCCAATCTCTCACATTTGATCGTCGAATGTTTTATTCAAATACGTTAGTAATATCTAAAAATAATTTAGAGAAGTTTGTCTACAAAGATTTGTCGAGTAATCACTGGGAAGGAAACAGCTGACTTGGCTGATAATTGGATGGTACTTCGGGAAATGTTAAAACTGTTGAAACATACTAGGGTACAACATCGAACAATGTTGAAGATGATGCCTTGTAGGTTTTTCCCCACTTTTTCTCGATCATCCCTTTTCGCTTGTCGCGACCCTCTGCTATTATTCGCGACTTCCAGGAAGAGAGCGAAACTCGTCTTAAAAGAACTTTTAACAACGGCAAGAAGGCACGAATTCACGCGCACTCCTGTACCTCCTTTACTAGTTTAATCCTTAAATAACACCTTCGTTTTTCTTTGCGAGACCATGAAAATGGTCTGTTACGTTCATCGGCTGTTGTATCCTTAAAGAAAGAATGGAACAAATCCTATAAATTATATAACAAAGTTTATTTCGTTAAAATATGAAAGCTGTATATGAATCAAAGTTACAAACACTTCGAATCAAATGTATAAAATAATGCAGCATAAAGTCGAAATTACAAAATATTGTAGAACACACGCACCATATATAAAAGCTCTATTTGATTTCTGGTGACATTTTTAATTTCTTGAGATCTTTACAGGAAAATGAAACGTTAAAATTTTCTAACGAATATAGGAATCGGCAGTGCCCGACAGTAACGACGCGAGCATTGGCATATGTCAGTAACATGATATTTTTATTGTCAGGATTCAGACTTTGTTTCCATAGGAGGCGTTGAAATCGGCTACGAAACCGATACAACAATAACAATAGAGAACTAGATATCGATTACTTTTCTGTGCATTGTTGTGACATGATTGAATTGCTTTATGTACATAGTAGCATGTATATCTGATTTCAACAAATACGTCGCTGTGAAGGCATTTCCGATTCCTATTCATTATGTACTTAATGTCGAGACACTGCTGACGTTGCCTAATGCATTGTAAACATACAAGAAAATCAACAATAAAAATATCTTCCAAAGAAATGTGTACACATTTTATTTATTTATTTATTTATTTACGATCTGCGGGCTTTCGTTCACATCGAACATGTTACGATATTTTTTAATAAAAAACGACAGATCTCGTACTTTATGGATTGTGTTTTAATACAAGTATTTAAAAGACGAAATATTTCACAAGCACATTGTGTAATCGTGTGACATGCGTACGCGAGATCGAGTGAGCGATGAGTCTCATATCGACAATTTTATATTTAGCGGTTAAATATACCTACATCAAGGCGTGATTGATGGTGATTTAAAACGAACACAAAATAAAGTATAACGCAAAGAAAATAAAAAAATAAACATAATCTGAGGCTAAACTGACGCAGTAAAGATTTTAATCCCCGCATACTCGCCGGAGATAAAGAAATTAAATCTCCCTAAATTTCTGCTCCATAAAAGTGTAATTTGTCCACAATTTGTTTTTGAAAAAAGATGATGTGATACCATTCTTTTCTCTCTTTGGAGGAGGAAGGGATATTTTTCATAATATGATTAAGAGAAATAATTCTATTTTCAATCAAAATTAACGGATCTTGCTTAATAATAAATATTAATATGCAAATTTTTTCCAGATATATTTTTTCAGCTTTATAAACTAATCAGATTTCATAAACGTTATTGCAAATTAAGCTGAAATATTAATATCTTAAATTAGATTGATCATCAATTTTAATAATGATGCTAATAAGCAACTTAAAATCCTGCAAATAATTTATTGTGAAAATCTCTGGCTGAGGTATAATATAATATTTTTCGCAATAAATTATTCACAAGTTTTTAAAAAACTTATTAGCATCATTATTAAAATTGACGATTAATCTAATTTAAGATATCTCAGTTACAAATTGCAATTGCGATTCAAGTCCAATGAACCGAATTAGAGCGGTTTAAAGCTAACAAAACATTTATTTGCAAAAATTTACATATTAATATTACCTCGAATATTACACTGAGGATCGTTGAAAATGGACAGAAAATCAGATTATTTCTCTTGATTTATTTTCATCAGTCTAATTTTGAATTATAATTTTCAAAACGATATTTTGGGCATCGTAAATTCAATCAAAGGTGCGCGGAAACGTGTTCGCCTTATAAGTAGTAAAAAGAAGTGCAAACAAAGGCAATTTAAACTTGCATCTCCAGTATTTATGGCAAGCGGCAATTCTGACGTTGTAAAGTCATACGCGCGTACTCTGCATTATTCGCGTAAAGCGAAATTCATCTCGTGCAAAATCCATCTACCATGATATTCTCGATATTTTGCATATCGTAATAAGAATATCATATGCCCTCGTTACCGCTCGCCAATTGCTGCTAATGGACTATGAGCGTACGACGGCTCTATTATTGTAATAGAATAATTATAATCGCACGTGTTCGTCAGAAGATTGTTCACGAGGGAACGATTCACAAAACTCCAAAAACGGTTTCCAGTTACGGTGTAATTAGCGTGACATTTTCGCATTTTTATTATGCGTGAAATATCGATTCTTCTCCCGTCATAATATGATGTGCGATTTTATCTCGCAAAGTGATACCGTCGAAAGAAAAATCTCGAGGTAATTCGATCTTAATTCGCAGGAACCGCATTACCGGATACATCCTGAATTATTCAAATCTAATTTATTTTACCGCGTGCTTCTACCTTCGAAGTTTTAAAGCAACAATCGCTTTAGCTTCCTTAAAGCTGACGCTTCCAATTTTAGCAGAATTCTTGATAACAAAGTTAATTAAAATATTGTAGAAAAATAATATATACATATATCATGATACATGTATCATGAATCTTATTGATTAAATAATACAATTATTTTAAAGAGATAATACAATTATTTTAAAATTGAATATATGACGTTTCTGTTCGATTGTTTACAAAAGACAACTTGTTCGCACTTTTCCCATTTAAATGAAATATTTAAGAGGAAAAAAAGAAAGGAAAGCGCGAAACATTGTAAGAGGAATTAAAGTTTTTTCTTCAAAATAAAATAACGAAATAAAAATGACATGCAACACCGTTGCGGCGTGTTACATACTGCGACAAAGGGAAGTCTTTTAAAGAAGTTCTCGTTGCGGGATCTCGCGATTTTGTAAAATGCATTTAATGCTGTACATTTATTCCACCGTGTACCCAAATGTATTCAAGGAAATGCTCTCGTTTGTGGAACAGTTTATACGGTTGTTCATTTACGAAGTTGTCGATGTAGACTCTTATTTAATTGTACAACATCAAAGAGAAGAATAATAATAGACGTATAATATTAGAATGCAAAGTATAAAGAGCAAGTAACAGGTTAAAAGACAATCAATGTTGTAAAAACAGAGAACGAGAGAGAGAGGGGGGGGAGGGAGACACAAAATGTGCGCGTATATATGTGTGTATATGCAAGTGTGAATGGGAAATATGCGCAGAAATCTGACATAAAGTACATACTAATGTATTTTGCAAAACATCCTTCTGTTTGCAGTTATTATGCGTCGACCGCGTTTCCGCCGCGCTTAGCACCGCCGTTGAAACGGCCGCGTTTGATGCCACCGACACGAGCACAGCATCCGAAGCTACAGAAACAACAATCGACAGCAAACACCGGCACGATACCCGACTTGAATCAACTTAAAGTGTACAGTAAGTACTGCATTCGAGACAATACGTTTTCGTTATGTACTTCGATGTTAGCTTTGCGATGTGCTTCACCTTCTCTCCTTCTCTTTACTTTAAAGTCGAATATTTGGATCTAATAGGGCAAAATAGTGAATTTATCTCAACAGGTCTATTAAAATCTTAATACAAGGGCTATCTGAATCTATCGCGGTTAAAGATTCGCTATTTCTTTAAATAACAATGTTTTTATTTAAAATTCATAATTATAATGTAAAGATAATTATTACAAGAAACGTGCGTACCGGCTTCGCTTTGAGCCATTTTCAGCATATAATTGCAGCGTGTAATTACAGATTAGAAGCAGTATCTCGACATATTCATATTTCCATTACAAAATCGTGGTATATATGTGTAATTAAATTAATGTTATCATTATTATTATTATGCAATGATTACTCTCTAAGTTTATAAGTTAGTTCCTTGTAACACGGAGTCCCAAAGCCTTGTCGAGCAATGAAGGCTGGGTTTAATTGAAGGTATGTCGTAGGCAATCCAGATATACTGATCTGCGGCAACTGCAGGGAGATGTTCACGGAACTCGGGGAGCTGTTGGAACACAAGCGGAACTACTGCAAGCTGCGGTTCACATGTAAATGTCACACCTTCAACGGAGCCGCCCCAAGTATGTACTCGAAATAAACTTCGAGGCGCCTCCTTCCGGTACGTAAACGCGCTCCGAATCCCACCGGAAGATCCAGAATTAATAATTGCCCATCGTCCATAATTTTAATCGGCGGTTATTCTCGTCGATCATAATTAACAGTTGGACAACTTTTTACGGTCATTGTATTGTTTAATCAGAACTTATATTCTATTTAAATTAAAACAGATTACTTACATTCATTAAATTTGATATTAATTGGTTGACGTAATTGATGACAAATTTATGCCTCTTTGCACGGCGAATTAAATTACGCAAACAAGATGAGCACCGCGTAAAATCCTTTACATATTCCGTTAAAATGAACATATTAAATGAGCGTGTTTTGTTGTGTTGCGTTATTGTAAATCAAACATTTTAGACGATTCATTTCTATCAAAAGAAAAATAAACGTTACGTACAAATTCCATTTTCCTTACGGCGACTCGAATTATGTTGTTGAACCAAAAAAAAAAGACAAAAGTTAATAAAGAGACAAAGTTAATAAAAAAAATTGTATTAACTCAAATTTAACTTAAACGAAGAACATTTTTGTAAACAACTTAACCCTTCACCGGCAATATAAAATTTTCAATTATAATCTTATTTTAACATCTAGAAATAAAAATTTTTATGGGTAAAAAATCAAGTAAATTTATTATTTAATATTAAATTCTTTTTATTTTAATCAAAATGAGTACAAAAAGTCCAAAATACAAACATTATTAATAGTACAACCTGCAGTATAATAATGTATATATAATGCTCCTCGATTTATCATATATAACGTACAAAACATAGTTCTTCTATCATTTTGATGAAATGAATATTTTTTGCGTTTCTCTAATTTAACAAGTCTGTCTGAAGGAGTTTCTTCAATTTTGAGTATTTCATGATCTGATATATTTCCATAAATAATGATTTTGCAATTACATTAGTGAAAAAATGATATAAAAGATTAATAAATCTATTTTAAAACAGTGAAATTTTTATATACTTATTGAAATTAGCATTAAAAAATGTAAAACACAAAAAAGAATTCAAATTTTTATTTGCAAAAAATCTTACGCGATCTGCAACATAGGTCTGATGAACTGAGGGCACAGATAGGACTTCTATTTGTATTTACAAAGAAGAATACATTTGGATACTTGTACATATACAGTCTTAACATTATCAAACTTTTTCAGGTAGTAATATTGAATCCCGCTATCTATTCATTTTCTTAAAATTTATAATAAAAAACGAATCTTAAAAGATTTCTTGCATTGCCGGTGGAGGATTAAATTGACAGCACTAATAAATGCATTATAGTCTCGCTTCAGAACTTGTATAAAAGTCTATTGAGCAATCTAATATTTATTTGTCGCACATGACATCGTTTCGAGAAATCAGTTTCTATATTTTATCTTATTTTGCCCTCGCTGTGGCTCACTGTGTGACATCACTACGGTATCTTTAGAATTTAGATTATTTATTAAGGCGTCCCGCGCTTCCTCACGAACAGGAGACTCGACGACGGCGTTGCTCTGTGTCCTCTGCAAGTTATCCTTTCCAAGTGCTTGGGAATTGATGGTTCATGCCCAGGCAGCTCACATGATCAACATTTACGAGTTGGGCACAAGAGCGCCGAGCCCGTCACGGAGCCCTAGTCTTGACCAACCGAAGGAGTCGTCGCCTTCCCCGCAGGATTTCCAGGTTAATTCTCACTCCTCTTACTTCCTGTTTGAGATTTATTATTTACGCCGACATCATGCAGCAATATTTTACAAAATCGCGCAACCCGAACTGAAGAATTAATAGTTTCCGCCTTGGGAATGGTGAAGGGTGGAACGAACGACTGTAAAAGGGGAGCTTAGAATTCACCCTCGAGGCAAAGTAATTCAAAATAAGACATTTTACACTTTAATCACTGAATGTCTATTTTATTTTTTATTGCTTGTAATTAGATTATTGCTTGGTAATTTCAGTGGAATTAATAGTATCTTAAAAATTAAAATTCAAAATCGCTCTTTTTTATGCTAAATAATAAAGAAATTAACTATATATATATATACACACAATATATATAAGATGAAATTTTAACGAGCTAAAACAGATGACTGTTAATATTTTATTCACAATGATAACAAAAAACTCATGAAACGTTTCGAACTTAACTTAATCTTTTTAACCATAAAAATTACAAAATAAAATCGATAAAAACAATTTTATTAGTATCTAAGATTTAACTAGATCTGAAAATAATTTTGTTAAATTGTCAAAATAATTAAATACATAAGACGTTCAAAGTTCAAACTGATTACATTGCTAAAATGTCAAAACTTTTTACAGTATTGCTTATCAAACTGAAGTTTTTTATAGAATTGTTTTAAGGATTCAGTAAAATTATTTTCAGATTTAACTTAATTTTTAACCCTCAGTACCCACATCTCAAAAAAGTCCCCATCTACCCACATCCAGGTATTTGTAATCTAGCGTTTTCTTTTGCTTGTATCTCAGATTGTAGTGTATCGATTTTAACTAATTTTTTTTTAATCTATCGTTTGAAGACTGAAAAAAAAAAAAGAATTTTTTAGAAAGTCTAAAATGTCATAGCACAAAAGATATTTTGCAATAAATGAAAAGGGATCGGAAAAAAACCCTCAGTACTCACATCTCAAAAAAGTCCCTATCTACCTACATCCAGGTATTTGTAACCTAGCGTTTTCTTTTGCTTGTATCTCAGATTGTAGTGTATCGATTTTAACTAATTTTTTTTAATCTATCGTTTAAAGACTGAAAAAAAAAAAATTTTTTAGAAAGTCTAAAATGTCATAGCACAAAAGATATTTTGCAATAAAAGATAATATAATGTAATTTTTATACTTTTTCATAGTAAAAATTTTTTGTTACAAAATCAAATATATCTAGCAAATTTTATTTGCGTACCATAGTAAAAATTAATTGTTTTCATGTTAGAATATGGCTTAACAAAATAATTACTTTATTTATGTGATAAAAATTAGTATTACCATAGTAAAAGTTAAGTCGGAATCATGTTGTGAGAATCCATCGAAAATACAAGACATAGTAAAGTGTAATTTAAAATTATATTAAAACTTACTATAAAATTTTCTCCGTGTACGCTAACCCTTTGTGGGTACTGAGGGTTAAATATTCCAGCAATATCGTTCTTTTCTTTTAGAAGAAAATATCGATACATAGCATAGTAAAGAAAAACATTAGACCTACATTATGAATAAAGTGTAATTTAAAATTATATTAAAACTTAATATAAAATTTTCTCCGTGTACGCTAACCCTTTGTGGGTACTGAGGGTTAAATCTTCCAGCAATATCGTTCTTTTCTTTTAGAAGAAAATATCGATACATAGCATAGTAAAGAAAAACATTAGACCTACATTATGTAAGCAGTCAAAAAGTCGCATCTGACAGTTAAAATACAATTCATAATTTTAAATTGTAAAATTAGCACAAACAACAATAATGCTCTCCTTAAAATATCTCCACCACGCACGAAATGACGTCCAAGATTCCGAACCAATTCTTCGTTCAGCAGCGAGAAAGAATAGAATCAGCATGAATAAAATGTGGTAAAAGTCCAAGGCGAAAGAAACGTGGGTTCAGTGGAATTCTTTAACTATTGTTGCATATTTCTTTAATAATATAATACCGTAATATATTTTAATCGAGGAATACGTATGTATATATATTGACTCACACAGTTTTTATTTTCTCAGATCATATTTAATGTATTTGTCATTAACGAATATACAGAATTGTTTTATTGTCGCACATGCATTTCTCGAATAATTAAAACGTGAGATTAACGGAAATATTTGACTGTCCCGTAGGTGTACCTAATTATCCTGGCGCGACGGCCGATCACATTTAAATAAGTAATATTCTCTCACTTTCATTAATTAATTTGCGTTTCATTACCAACCGACGATTGAATTACTTGCTCTGTAGTATTGATGTTATGTTATCAATAATCCTCGTTGGTGAGCCATAATCCAAAGTTTATTTTCTTTTTACATGAGATATTTTATGCATATATATATATATATAATATATATATATTTAAACATATCAATTTATCGTGAACTCTCAAATGATTTAAATATGATAGATAAATTTATAGATTAAACCTTCGGAATTTTTTATATCGTAAAGAATATTTACCTTTCAGAACGTGTCATGAAATTATCTTCATTATTTTCTTAATTATATATATTTGATTTGTTCAACAAATATAGATTCTTATATACAATAAATAGGTCACCGGTATCGAAACTCAATCGTTCTAAAAAGACTAGTCTCGCCGTTTCGCAGTTCATTTCAACGTCCTTCTCTCTCTCTTTTTATCTTTCCATTTCTGCAAAACGACATGTAGTCTTCCGTCACATTTATCGGAGCGTCACGAGGCGATCCAGGGAAGCAACAAAGAGGCATCGCGACGATACGCGTCGTCTGAGACACGAGATATATCCGACGGACGACGACGCAGACAGTCTTCCCGACGATGCTTGACGTGCACGATTTTCACGAAGTTGTATAGAACTGGAGTAAGGGGAGTATGTGCGCTTGCACTCGGCAAAAGCAACCCCAGTGACCGACGCGAAACACGTCGATTCCATCGAGGCTAACTCTGGGGTTGACGTATCGACAGAGAAACATATGACGAAGTAATATTTTTCCGCGCCCCCTCGGGTGATGGCATTTTCCCGCCACTCGCTCACCATCTCTCCCCTTAACAGTTTTCCCATCGACAGATAGCAAAACCGAAAATCGTACTTTTGATGTTAAATATCGCAGGAACTCGCTCGTAGGATCTAATATACTTTTGTCCAGAATAACAGAATAAAGGATTTTTCGTTTAACTAATTTTTTTTCTTTTTACGTACTAAAAACGCGGTAGCGTTGTTATCGAAAAATGTATTACATCAAAGAAAAATTTACCCGTCTGAAAAAGAATACAGAGGAAATATGAAAGTTTGTAACGGCATTCGGATGATTAATCGAAATCTAATCAAATGTGTTTCTGTTGTACTAAGTTTTTCTAGTAAATGCTGCTGTATTTGAAACATATATGGGGTGCTAAATTTTAGAATTGACAGAGAAAAAACGGAATTTTTTTTAGTGATAAAATAACTAATGTTAAACGTAACACGTCGCTTATTAACAAATGAGCATCCGCAGCAATACGTAATGTTGCTGCAATTTCCTATCATAACTATACACTGCAGCTTGTTGCGAGGATAAATGATCGTAATGCAGATACCTTCGTTAATCAGTTTCCCGGTTGCGATAATCTCGCGTAACAGTATTAATCTATGGAATCTATGACAGGAAATCAAGGCTACGGATTGCGAAGAGCGCGCAGAGGAGGAGGAACTTGATGGACATGAGTTAATACCGTCCCCCGACAGTGGCAAGTCAACGGACAACGAAGCGGCTCTGTCGCCGATCAAGATTCGATCTGACGTTAACGGGTTGGATCACGAAGACTGCGACGAATTGATCCACGTCGAGAACACTACGCAGGCATGCATCATGCATACTCTCAGCATTGTGAGTTTTCAGTTCTTCTCTATTTTACATTCGAGAAACAGCATTAAGAACGTATGAAGAAATTATTTATGATGGCAAAAACATTTTTAATTAAAAGATTTATGATACTGTGGCAAAAAGTATTTTTGCTATATTATATAAATTATATAATTAATTATTATATAATTATATGATTTACATTATTATATTATTATATAATTATATAAATTATGAATTATACACTGAAAAAAAAATTAGCTAAATCTGAGTAAATATTTCTTGAATATAGTGCCAATCAGTAAACATTTATTTAGAACAAATAAATATTTGCTCAATAAAATATAATGATGCTTAAATCAAATTAATAATTCTTGTATCAAATAAATATATGTTTACATTTAGTAAATATTTACTTGGCACTATTCAAGAAGTATTTACTCAGATTTAGCTAATTTTTTTTTCAGTGCATAAATAATATTTTAAATAAACAAAAATTTTTTAAGTATAAAGTTTAATTAGGAAAAATATTCCCTAATCAATATATCTTCGCAATCGCATCGTATTATTAACTGCCTAGTGTTATTTTTCTCTTTTCCATACGTTTTATGCATTCTATTGCAATACGAATAAAAATAAGAATAAGAAGAAACCCGCGGTTTAAGCAATAGGAAAATTAAAGAAACAGATACACGACTCTCTAACACGATGCACAGCCGGCACGATGACAGAAACATCGACTTAGATCACGTGTCATGAGGACCGTAAAGAGCGTAAAGATCGTAATGGAACCAGCATGGCACTAATGACTGACGTCGCTTTCGCTACACAGCAGTTAAAAGCAGTCATCCACGATAAAGACTCGTACTTCTTGGGTGCATATTAACAGGAGCATCGTAAATCGGCGTTGTCGGCGCCAACGACGACTACGACAATGCCAACGACAGTGATGTCATCGCTGTTTCCTTTTTTTCCACACGCGATAAACCACCATATCGTTCTGATTTCCGCTAACGACCACGGATATATTATAATCGTCGAAGCATTACATTTCTTAATATGTAAATTTTAATTTCATAATTTAAATAGAGCTTCATAATCTAATAAAAGGCTACAATAATTTTAAATTATGATATTAAAAATATTAGAAGTATAGTATTATTTTACTATTATAGCGCTATAAATATTTCACAATTTTCAAAATAAATGTTCTCTAGGCCATTATTTAAATCATTTTGCATAATTCTGTTGTTATAGGATTCGTCCTTGGAACTAAATTCTGACACGAATTCGAGAACAACTTCTGGAACGGTGATGGCCTTGACCAATGGTTCATTATCGGCAAAGGAATAAATGAGGAAAAAAAAAGAAAAGGAAAAAAAAAGAGAATATTCATCGGAACGGTCTTCCCCGGCCAACCAACGAGACATATCGATCTCCTTTAAGGATAACGCACCCGTTTGTATATAGCTTAATTGCCTAACAAATTATATTCAGGATCGTTAGATCCCGTGGTCTATGCCGGCTGATCGAATATCGATCATTTTCCCAAAAAGAAACAAATATCAGTTTCATTCTGGACTCTTTATGCACTTGCAATTCCCCTTCAAACTTTAATTGAAGACTAACCCAAATGGGAGGAAAATATAGAAAATCAGATTGAGTTTAATTATTTACATTTGATATATCGTTTATTGGAAAAATGTTAATTAAATTGTGGATTAAAAAAATTTTTATTTATTTGTTTCATTCATTAAAAATTGTAGATTTTTTATTTATCGTAATTGCATTAACCTTTTATTTTTATTTTTAAAGCTTTACATTTGATATTCAAATTTTATTTTTATTTTTAAAGTTTTTACATCTGATATTCAAGTTTTTAGTATTATTCTGAACTTATGATTTTTAAAATTTCAAGATTTCATGTCTTATAAAAAATATTTCATCTACTTTTATATATATATATATATATGTTACATCTCTTAAAAATTTGCAGCTTCCACATAAGAAGCTATAAAATATTATATTTATTCATCCAGAAAAATATATATTGAAGTTAAAATTTTAAATTTTCAAAGTTATACATTTTTTTTTATTATTAAGTACTATTTTGTATTTAGCTTCTAAGTCTGAAATTTATCAACCACGAGATTTCAAATTCACATGATGCAATTGTAAATCACAGATAATTTTATATTTAGAAGATTGTATACAATATAAGTTTATTATCATTCAACTATATAAAATCAAGTGCTTTTGTCATCTTGATGGCAAAATATTGAACATAAGACTATTTGTGAACAACGTATTAGCTAAAAAGAATCATTAATGGATTCAATATTTCTAGAAATCCTAAAAATTATTTACTTATTAATTAGTTTTCCAGTGAAGATTACTTTTTATTCAATAAATATTATAACATCAATGATAATATCGGATATAAATAATCCTTAAATATTGGCAAAGATGTTTGTTAAGAAAACAAAGAAACTTGTATCTTCCTTTCTTAGCATTCGCACATGCGTGTAGATTAAAAATATAGATTGCCAATTTAATTATTTATGAGACAACATATCTTCCCCAATAAACAATATGATGTCAATGGCGAACTAATAACTGAATTACGATACGCGCGCGCGCGAATTTAAACTTCAATCATTATTAAAACGGCAAGTCCATTTCTCTGCTGTTATCTGCTCCGTTCTGATTCACTTTCATTTTAAGATTTTTAATCAATCATACTACACACGATTTACATAATTGTTATCTATTTTAAGAAGGAAACGTAGCATAGAGAAAGCGAGAAGAAAGGAGGCTCTGTTTGGCGGCTGTTCCACAAATTCTATGTTATTACAATTCTGTATTATTTTACTTATAAATCCATAAATCTGTAAATCTATATTTGTATATACAAGTAATTTTTAATAATTTAAATAATTATTTTAATGCAACAATTTAAGTACCCATAAAATAATAAATTTATAAATTTATAAATATATATTTAGAAGTTTATATATTTATGAATTTTTAGCGTTTCATTATAAATAATTTTTTATTTAAAATTTTATTTAAAATTTATGTAATTCTTGATCTAAAGAAACATGAGTACGAATCAAAACAGTCACATATATCGTATATGAATGTGGAATAAATTATGATCTCTTTTCCCCAGGAGAGTGTAACATATTTTATTTTCAATTAATTTATTATTTTTTATGTATTACTATTGTAATTTGCCATTGACAGCTCCCGTAATTCATGCATATCAAAGATCTAATATCCTGGGTACCATTTATTAAATACAGCCTGCACAATTCGTAAATGCAACGCAATCGTCGAAAAAATAAAGATATCATCGATACCCGGAAAAAATCGGTCGAGCTTGTACGAGGCCTGATGCGCTTCTCTTCCTGCGTTTTTTTCTTTTGTAAAACAAAATATTTATTACACGAATAGATGGTAGCGACGAGAGTTATTTGTTTATAGCCCCATATATAAACAATGTTTTATGGATCATTAATGTCTAAATAAAATATATTACGTCTTTTAAACCGTGTTCGAATCTTTTCCTTCTTCCACTGCTCTTTTACATATCTACATAATACAATAAATTTGCTCCTTTATTCCGTAATCTTTACTTATTAATGTTTACTTTTTAATTTAGCATTTTAGTAATGCGGTATTTCAATACTTAAGGTATTAATTAAAGAAACGTGTGATGAGTAGAAATGTTTATTTAACTTATAATAAGTAATTAGCAAATAATCTGTAATTAGAACTGGTTTTTAACGACTTGCCAAAGGCAAAGGAATTCTGCAGTTCTTGACACGTTCACTTCTTCGAGCATGTTCAGCCCTTCAAGCGCCTAATTACTGTAAGGCATCGCAGCATCACGAGGCATTACAGCCCTTTCCGCGGTTATTCAACTGTACTAAGAGGCTCGTTAGAAAGATTTCCTGCCCTGCTGACCTCTTGACGTTATGTATAAAAGAAGTTTACCGTGTGCATTCAGTTGATCATTGAACTCGAATTCTGTGTTACAATTTATCTAATTTAACAATTTCATCGATCAAACAATACTAATTTTTAAAATAAATATAGGTAAAAATAAGAAAAAGAATTTATTTTACAAAATAACTCACAGAAGGTATTTTACGAGGCTCATGTCCTACGTTTATTTTCTCTCCTTGTGAAGTATTTTAATAAACGTTTTTACATCCATTGACCTGACGGAATTATCTTTTATATGCGTGTATCTAGACGATAATGGAGGATTCACAAAACATTCAACAATCTTCCTAGTTGATATCGGATGTTGTGTATGTCGGTTGCGAAATCGCATAAACCATTAAGAGGGGAAAAACATCGAGAGATGGAGAGGTGCTTAATGTCTCGCAAGAAAACGTAGCCAAAAACCAACGGCCGATTTACTTTTGTCCCTCTTTAGAAACATGATTCGTCCGTATTGCAGCGTTTGTAACTTATATTATTAAGACTGAGACTGAATTATGAAAACAGGTAAGCTATTCCGTCCCTTTTTAGAAAGCATGTCTTACTCACATTGCACACAACACGAAGGAAAATTTGTAATAAGTGAAACTTTGGGAATTGCATTGCTTGGAGTTTTAACTTGTCCGTCACCTCTTGATCTAATTATATTCTCCTGCTAAGTATTCCTCTTACTCTAAAGAGTTTAGAGTTTTGAACTCTCAGACAAAATTCTAAGAAGCTTTGGAATCGCGAAATTTCTTGAAATTTTAATTAATACATACTCTTTGTTGATTACGTTCAGCTGATACTTTGCCGACTTGCTTTTTATCGACTCCTTTCTCCTTTTCTGCTCTGCTCTCCGCTAGATGACAACACTTTGTGAAGAAATATGTATAAAGGAACACAATAATAAAGAAGCAGTAATGATTCGAATAATATAAAAACCATATACATTATATTTGTAGCTTTATATATTTATTTATATAAAAACCATATACATTATATTCATAGTTTTATATATTTATTTATATAAAAAAGAGAAACATTGCTATCTTACAATCTTTTAAACTTGTTCTTTATCGAGAGAATCTTTTCTCTTTTCCCTGCTTTACTGCTCGCTAGATGACAGCACTTCGTAGAGAAATGCAATGAAAGTACATAACAATAAAGAGTCTACTATAGAACATTATAAGACGTAATAAAAAAATTGTCTACCTTTATAGAATTTTATATTCGTAGTTTTATACGATTATTCTATATCAAGAAATACTCTTTTATAATGCCCTATAAAATTTAAATTTAATAAAAATTTACTTTATTATTATAAAAGTTTTATGCATATATTAAAATGATTTTAACAAAGTTACAAATTAAAATTTCACTATAATAAAATCAATAGAGAATGAATAAATAAAAATAAATAAAAAGGATTTCGCTACTTATTTAATCTTTGAATTTTAATTCGTAAAAATAATTTTATATTTGACTATTAATGATTTTAAAGTTAATTTTATACAAGTATATCTAATTATAAAAAATGCCTTTAAATTGACAAAATTTGCAATGTTTGCCAGCTCAATTTACCATCATCCTATATCTATACGTACATATCTGCATGTCTATAACCTTCGGCGATAAATTCAGAATTCAGGTATTTTGGCAATAACGTTCCGCGTTCTATTTCATTTTCGGTTATTGCACTGCTCCGGTAGCCGGCGTGACTGTTTATCATTCGGTGCGAGCCTTACGGTTAAAAACGACGAGCAATTGTGAACGGTAGTTGACTCCGTGGGTAGAGGGGTGGGCATGTTTCATCTGCGACAAACTGAACGGTATGCAGATATGGAGCCCGGGTAAACCAACCGCTTGTGGACTACTGCGCGGTAGTAATCACAGTCACTCCGAACAGTCAACGACATCCGCGAGACCCACAGGTGTATAACAGGTACATTATTTATCAAAATTTACACTAACATTTCCCTCGGTCTTTAACATAGATGTGATTTCGATTTAATGTATTCTCCCTTCGTGCTCTCTAAATACGGTCAAACGTAGCGTTCGTACTTTATCAACGTTTAATTTGTTGGCGTATAATTGTTACCTTTTTTCTTAAATTTAAAGAACTGCAGGGTGATCTCTGTGACTTACCAATTTACACATTCTATTCTTGGAGAAACGCTCCTCTCAAATAACCTCCTGAAATAAAAAGACTTTATTACACGGTAAATTTTAAAAATTGCACACTCTGTACGAAACACGAAGCGTTAATTGCAGTGACTTATAAATTTTTCAAATGCTATTATAGCAACGTGTTTGCACGATACAACTTTAATGTAATAAATTTTTACGAACATAATGAATTCCAAATTATTCTTCAGTAGCCGCTTATTGAACAAAGGTACGTAAGCCAATTAAAATTATTTGTACGAAAATTGAATGAATTAAAATTCGACGAAATATTTAATTACATTGTAATGTAGAGAAAATAATTACCGTGCCATTGTATATTGATCAAATAATTATAAAGAATAAAATCTGCACTTAATATAAAGATTTTGAATTATAGCATGAATTATATATATATATATATATATTTAATACTTAAATCTCCTTTTTTCACGTAATATGAATTAAATAATTGATGGTGGAATCGTAAAAAAATA